CCCTGATGGCATTCAACACCAAAAAATGCAAGGTTCTCCACCTTGGGAAGAAAAACCCGCAGCATACTTATATGCAGTACTACGCTTGCTAGCACCTTGGCCAAAAGGGACTTGGGAGTCACGATCGACCACAAGATGAATATGAGCCACCAATGTGATGCTGCAGCTGGCAAAGCAAGCAAAATTCTGGCTTGCATCCATAGATGCTTCTCTAGCAAATCCCAGGATGTCATCCTCCCACTGTACTTGGCCTTGGTGAGGCCGCAGCTGGAGTACTGTGTCCAATTCTGGGCTTCACAATTTAAAAAGGATGTGGAGAAACTTGAGGGAGTCCAGAGAAGAGCCATGCGCATGATCAGAGGACAGGAAAACAGGTCTTATGATGAGAGGCTGAGAGCTATGGGACTCTTCAGCCTGGAAAAGCACAGGCTTAGGGGGAACCTGGTAGCTGCCTATAAGTATATACGGGGTGTACATCAGCATCTGGGGGAATGTCTGTTCACCAGAGCACCCCATGGGATGACAAGGTCAAACAGTCACAAACTCCTGCAAGACCGTTTCAGGCTGGACATAAGGAAGAACTTCTGTACTGTCTGAGCCCCTAGGGCCTGGAACAGACTGCTGCCAGAGGTGGTGCAAGCACCTACTTTGGAGTCGTTTAAGAGTCAATTGGATGTTTATCTTGCTAGGATCCTGTGACCCAGCTGACTTCCTGCTCCTGGGGCAGGGGGCTGGAGTCAATGATCCTCCGAGATCCCTTCCATCCCTAATGCCTATGAATCTCTGAATATCAGTGTATATGCATGTGCAGTACATCTCAGTACATGCTCGTGTAGTTGGAGTACATGGTCTCAGTTAAATTCATATGAAAATTAGATTCCCCTATATTCTGCTCTGAACTTTGTTACTCCTTAGAAAAAAACCTAAGCAAGTACATTTCAGAAAGTAAATGATTTTATTTTGCAAACTAATGCTCTGGCCTAGATATTGCAATAATCCAAACAGTTAATAGTCTTTCTGAAAATGGCTGCTATCTATTATTTATTTTGTATAACATATAAAATAAATAGACTGCCTTAGGTTATTTCTCATGTCATGCGTCTCATTTACCTTATAGGGATCTAGATACAACATATCATATAGAATATGTTCCTCCATGTGACTACACACCATATGTAAGTAAATAGGAACACTAAAATGATGTTTTACAGTTTGTTTTAAATGCAGTTTCATCTGTAGAGTGCATAATTAACTTTAGGGAAACAAGAAAAAGCTGCTTCTGAAATGATGATTTGTTTGTATTTGCATAGAGCCATTAGCAATATAGCTACAGGAACCAGTAGACAAATGAGACAGTTATAATTTATTTTAGAGTTTATACATTTACAGAGAGAGTTTTCCATCTGCATATAACTTACTAGCAAACTGTTTAAAGATTCCTCACTACAGCTATTTATTCTGTCCTTTCTTGGTTTACTACCACAAGAGCACAGGGTTTGGGGGAGAAATGTGTTATTTATACGTTTCTTACTATCTTTGGTTGCATTTAATGGTGCTTCAGCAAAATAAAAATTTAACAGCTTCTTTTCTATCTTTTTCCCCCTGCTGTGTGTATGAATGTTATTGCTCTATTTATATAGATGGTAGAAGAATTACACTCTGTGAACATTAAAGCAAAATACATATCTGCAATTTAATAGTAATCAAAAACTTAAAAGACTTTTTAAAAAGTTTGAGGTTTTGGACATTTCGTTTTTCTTTGAGTGGGGGGAAAAAGGTAACATTTTACTAAAGATGTTTTGGAGTTAAAGGAGTAATGGCTGTGCCCTTTTGGACTCCTCCATATTGTAAAATAAACTTTTTTTACTGTGAATTTAATGTCCATGAAAGAGGCTATGTTGAAAGCTACAGAGACTGTAATCCTGTGTTCTCATAGCAAGTAAAATGCAGAGGTACATATACAAGCTCCTGTAGTCTGCCATGGCAATATGCCTTTGAATGGACATAGAGGGATTACTTCTCAAACTGAAAGGTTTGAGTTAGATTAAGAGGGAAGATGTGGGCTGTATGGGCTATGCATGGCCTCCTTCCACCCCTGTAGGCATACCCATGCCTCGGGATGTTATCTTAACTTGTCCACTGGGCTCTCTGGCCTGTCCATCAAGCTCTGGTTGGCCTCCCAAGGCCCTGACCTTGGCAAAATTCTCTTCTCTGAATCCCTGGCCCTTACACTCCTGTCAGCCTGCCATGCGCTTAGCCTTGGCAAAGCTTTCCCCTTTCCCTGGGCCCCTCATCCTAGTTTCTGTCAACCTGCCCCTTCCAACAACCTTTAGCTCTTATGGCCTAAAGACTACTATGGCTACTGCTTCACTACTATGGCCTTAGTCCTTGTGGCCTTGGCCTACACCTCCCCCAGCAGTGGCTCTTTTCCTTTAGGTGAATTAGTGCCTCATTTTGCTCATACTGAAGAGAAGCATAACGACTCTGCCTACTAGTCAAATAAAAAACCGTAACATTTCTTGTTTGAGCCAAAAGAAATCTTATGAGGTCCAGTAAGGATGAGTGCCAAGTCCTGCACTTAGGGTGGAACAATCCCATGCACCGGTACACGCTGGGGACTGATTGACCAAGCAGCAGGCCTGCAGAAAAGGACCTGGAGGTTACAGTGGACAATAAGCTGAATATAAGCCAACAGTGTACCCTTGTTGCCAAGAAGGCTAACAGCATACTGGGCTGCATTAGTAGGAGTGTTGCCAGCAGATTGAAGGAATTGGTTCTTCCTCTCTCTTCTGCACTGGTGAGACCACATCTGGAATACTGTGTCCAGTTTTGGGCCTCTCACTACAAAAAGTATGTGGACAAATTGGAGAGTGTCCAGTGGAGCACAACAGAAATGATTAGGGGGCTGGCTAACATGACTTATGAGGAGAGTGAGGGAACTGGGTTTTAGCTGGGAGAAGAGAAGTCTGAGGGGGGTCTAATAACAGCCTTCAACTACCTGAAGGGTGGTTAAAAAGAGGATAGAACTAAACTTTTCTCAGTGGTAGCTGATGGCATAACAAGGAGCAATAGTCTCAAGTTGCAGCAAGGAAAATTGGATTTTAGGAAAAACTTTCTTACTAGGACTAGGGACAGACATTCAAAAAGCCCAAGCCTGAATTGATTTAGTCTTTGCAGGTTACTCTAACTTACAGAGAGTGAACCAGTTTACAAGTGGATAGACATTCAATACATGCCTGTAGTGGCTCAAGCCAGAAGCCCAGGGGCGTTAGAGCAGCCCTCCCTTCCTTCCACAGGGAAGCTGAGCTGAGGAGGGGGGCATGGCCAGGCAGCCAGAAGCAATCCAGGCATATACAACTGCCCAGTCAGGCTGTTCGAAGCTTCGGTCCCTGATTTGATTTCAGTGGTCGGATTTCTGAATCTGAATCTGAATCGAATCGGGAGACCCTTTAATCTCGCTGAATCTGAATCGAATCGGAACCCTCTGAATCAATTCAGAAAGATTTGGTGATTCAGATATAAACTTTAATAGCTTTAAATGTTTTTTCTACATGCCTCAAGGTACGAGGCAGCTCATGAATGCTGTGATGGAGGGGTGGATGAAGGATCCCACAGGAGTGTGGGGGCTCCCCAGCGCGCTTGGCAGCAGACCCGGAAGTGGACCAGAAGCACTTCTGGTCCACTTTTGGGTTCACCAGGGAGAGTGTGGGGGGCCCCCCTGCGCCCCTCAGCTCCGTGACTGGGTACCCCCTCCTGGGTCTGGGGGGGGGCCCAGGGTCCCCCCATGGCTGATTGTCAAGCTGGGGGGATAGTAGGGGGGGGCCCCTGCCTGCTCAGCAGCGGACCCAGAAGTGGACCAGAAGTACTTTTAATCCACTTCTGGGTTCACTGCCGAGCACTTGGGGTGGGGGGGCCCTGCACTCCTGTGGGACATTCCATCCGCACCAGCATTGCAGCATTCACGAATCATGCCTGGTACCTCAAGGTATGTAGAAAAAACACTTAAAGCTGTGTCTATGGCCTAATCACTGATTCTCTGAATCAACATCGAATCTTCAGATTTGGATTTGGCTGAATTGAATCGGGGACAGTGATTCGAATCAATGAATAGAATCATTGTCCCTGATTTGGGCCGAATCAGAATCCAAACTGAATACAGCCCATTTTGCACACCCCTACTGCCCAGCCCTAGAGGGGAATTTTCCCCCCTTCTCCCTCTCCCCCACTGCCACAAGGCCAGGAGGGGGGCCCTGTTCAGTGCTGGGGGGGGGCTCTTCTCCCTCCTCCTCCCCTTCTGGCACCATGGGGTGGGGAGGGGGGCTCTGTGAGGCTGCCCAGCCCCAGAGGGGAGTCTTCTCCCCACTCCTTCTCTTCCATGGCAGGAGGAGGCTCTGTTCCATGCTGGGGGAAACTCTTTCCCCTCCTCCTTCCCTCAGAGGGGCAGTGGGAGCACACAGCTCAGCTGGGCAGGGTGGGGGTGGGAGGGTCTAGGGACTCCCCACCATGGCAGCACACACTCCCTCACAGCTGCAGCCCTTGCTGCTTGGCAGCAGTAGCAGGCAAGGAGGTCAGGGTGCTAGTGTCTGGCGCAGGCACGGCTCCAGCCAGCACTGTGCTGGGGGACAGAGCAGAGCCTGCCTTATCTCCCAGTGGGGCTCTGAGCCTGAGCTTGCAGCTCCAGTGCTGGTGCCAGGTGCTTCCCTGCACTCCCCACTGTGTACTCTCGCACAGCCCCCTCTCCCAGTCTTGCGGAGGTGGGGGTGGGGGGAAAAAGGGGAGGAGGGGAAAGAGTCCCTCTCCAGGAACAGAGCCCCCCTCCCAAGCCTGCAGGACAACCTACCCAGCACGACCCCATTAAGGTGAAAGGGGCAGGGAGAAGGGTTAGTTTTTCCCTCTTCCCTTTCCTGCGGCTGGGGTCTGCCAGCTGCAGGGGCCATTGCTGCAGCCCCCTCCCCTCTGTTCCCTAGTAGATAGGCTGACCTCAGCTTCAGTGGGGGAAGAGGGAAAGGAGGGAAGTATTAACTCCCTCCATGCCTACTTTGCCTTAATGGAGCCATGCCAGCCGATGTCTCTGCTAAGGCCGGTCCCTGCTTCAGCTAGAGAGCAGACGGGTGAGGTCAACCCTGCTGTGGAGCAGAGAACCCTGCCCAGCCAGAGAGCATACCAGGATGCTGGGGGTCTCTGAGTTATCTTAAGCCAGCAAGGAGTCTGGGACAGACATTGCATAAACTGGTTCAACCAGATTTATCTCAAACTGGTTTCAGCCATTTTGAAACTGGTTTATGTGCACTGAATGTCTGTTCTGTTACAAGTTTAAACCAGTTTCTGATCATTTAAACTGGTTTATGTATAATGTCTGTCCCTAGCCTAGGAGGGTACTAAAGCATTGGAACACGCTACCCAGACAGGTTGTGGAATCTCCATCCTCAGAGGGTTTTAAGACCCAGCTAGACAAAGCTGTTGCTGGTATGATATAATTTGATGAGCAGGACTAGCTGACCTTCTGAGGTCCCTTCCAAGCCTAATTGTCTACCATTCTATGATATTTGACTTGCTGCGAAATTCGTAGGTATTCCAAAAAGAAACTGGTTCATTACCTCAAGATTTAGGAATACTGGATACAAGCAAATATTGACTTTCTGTGTTTTTACAGAAGTAAGCTTCCATTTGTGATGCAGATAATGTTATAATGCTCTGTTGTTATTAAACTGGATGTCTAAGTGAAATAGACTGCAAGTAGAAGTCCTGAGCAGTTTTCCTTTATTAAGGCATATTCGCAGAGGAGTTAATATATATTGTTGCTCTCTTCTGGGGGCACTGGTTATAATCATTGCCCTGAGGTGGACACAGTCCACAGCAAATCCTTGGAATGGCTAATAATATTAATAAAAATTGCACCCATTTCATATAGTAATAAAAATGGCTTACAGCAATAATTACCATTGTGTGTTCTTCAACACACTGTAAATCTGAAGCGCAAAATTAGCCAAGGTTGCACAGGAAGAATAATTTGATTTAACCAAATACATTTATTTGAGTTAATTTACACAAATCATCTTCAGAACGAGGAAGGAGATCAAACTCCTAGGTTTACTAGTTTTGGCTACTCAACTCTAAGTATCGTCCAAGGTAGAATGTTAGAATTCAGTAGATCTAATATTCTGACCATATATTTTTTTAGGAGATAGATTTTTAATCTGTGAAATGGTTTATTTCCTATAAAGTAGTTTGACCATAATGTGCACATTATCAAAGAACCATGTTTTGAATCTCTGTTTACTAGAAAATAACTCCTGTCTTTCTTGCTTCCATAGGTTGGAGTCCAACCAGATGGTTATTCTGTAGTTCATAGAAAATGTCATTCTCAGTTTACTGACACAGCAGATTACAGAAGACATGGCATCAACACTTGGCAAGATGAGAGTGGGATTTATGCCAATGCAGCTATAAAGCACAAGTCCTTCCCAGTAACTAATCCTATACCTTCAAATGTACTTGATTCCTGAACCAAACCCAAGTAACTCAATCTGAAAAAGAAATTCTGCATTTCACACATTGACTATATTTACCAAATATATATATAAAAATATATTTGAAATACTTGCTTTTGTTTGCTTTACAGGAGTGACCCATCTACAGTAAGGAAATATATGGCATATGTTTTATATGAATCATTTGTATATATTGAGTATTTTTATGATTAATCACTTTTATGGTACTTTGCTAGATGTATATACTGGAGATCAAAGGTTTAGCTGAAACCCTTTTTTTCCAATATGAAAAATGAACAACACTTTGATTAAGACTACAGACAATGGCACTGCTGCCCACAAAATTCACATTAACTGACAGGCAGCTATCAGTAATGGACAAAAAGCCAGCAATCCCTCTAACTTCCACATTTTTTTTCTCTTTGTTATTGCCATCTTGCTTCTACAGACTTGACCTGAACTTGATGTAGGACTTAAAGGGATCTTTCTAGGTCATCATCATATCCAGTCTTTGCTTATTGTAGGCAACTATCTCATATAATCTTGTTAATAAACTTTTTGAGATTTATGTTAAAATTAGGCAGGTTTGCCCTCACCTGGAAAGTTATTCTAGATCCTCACTGCTCTGATTTAAGAACCTCTTCTAATTTCTAGCTTAAATTTATGCAGATACCATGTCTCTCTTTGCCGTGTTGTGGCATGTCTCAAAAAAAGCTCACATTTAATAATCTCATATTGGAAGTTGATAAAGTAAAAAAATTCTAGCAAGAAATAAGAGAAAAAGAACAGTAAGAGTGAACTTGGTATTGTGACTTGGCTTGTGTCATTATTCAGACATTGCTTTACTCTTTTTCTTGTGCCCTAAAGTTCTTTTTAGGGAGGGTTTTTCTTTTAAGAATCACATGGACTGGCAACTTCATTCTGTCAACAAGTATGGCCAGCATAACAGTGCAGTGCTTCTTTTCATAAACATCTGTTCTTATGCAGACAGCTTTTGCTCTACTCTCATTTACTGTGGCGTCAGATGGCATTTCAAGATATGCCAGTATCTGATCTGTATTTCCTGTTTGTGACAGTCAGTGGGCGCATCTGCATGAGACATTTACTGGACAGTTGATTAACTGTACAGTAAATCTTTCAGTATCTACATGTGCATATTAGGACTCATGAAACTAATAAACTCTGCTGCGGAGTTTTTTCATGCACAGCAGTGTATGTGTAGACACTGACCCAGGTGCCTGGGGCATGAGGGTGCGCTTCAGTGCAGGGGCTGCCTGCTGGCTAGCCCCACACTGAAGCACCCTTGCGCCCTAGCTAGCCCCTCCATGGCACATTCAGCCCAGTTTGAGCACCACAGGCTGGCCCCCTGAAACCCTGCTAGCCAGGGCTGCTGCAACCTGTTCAGTGTGCTGCCGTTTGGGTGCACCTGTAAACCATCTGCCCGGGAGCTTCCCAGGAGCAATACACTGTGGAGCAATAAGCTCTGCAGTTTATTGCTGTGTGTTAATGGCACATAGACATGCCCCATAAGTACAAAGGCTGCAGCTCTGCAGGCTGATCACGTATTATTGAAAAGTTGTCAATTTTTTCTCATGTGCCTCAGGTAGGCACTGCAAAACCATTGTGCACCTTATTGAAAGTCCATTTCTTCTGTAAAATCTCTGTATCCAACCTTTGCTTGGCCTGAATTGAAGACCTAATCCTAGTTCTCTAGTGATTTCATGTGTTTTTTATCTGAGACTTTTTTGTTGACGCTGCATATACAACCTACTTTCTCTCTCACACACATACCACAAGTTATTCTTCAAATTCCCGGTATTTTACCCCTGGGTCACAAAATGCTTATCTATCAGTACTGCTAATTTCTCCTTTCCCTGATCTCTTGGACATGTTTCACTGATGCTGCACTTCCAGCAGCATTGGTTTCAAGTTCTCCTACTTTTGGTATTTTTAAGTTTTTCACTGACAGTGAAAGAATGTAACTGCCTTGTCCCTCTTGTGTTTGTAGGTTTAGCAATGTAGCTGCTCTTCCGTGTGCCCCTACTATAGCTAGCAATGAAACACTGGAAGCTGCAAGGGGCTGGGAGAGCAATCCCCCCAGCTGCTGCTGGTCACACATCAGAGACCAGTGGAGTATCAGTTTAAGTGAAATAGAGGAGGGGGGAATCAAATGAACAAGCCTCTCATGTGCCCTGGACAGAGTGGGAGGATGGAGGAGAGAAAGTAGAATATTATGTGATTGTTGGGAGGGCTGGGCCCAGAGGGGGGACCTGAGGCTTACCTGCCCTAATCAGGATACCTTGCAGTTTTGCTGTAAGTGGGCTGCCACTCCAGTCAGAAGATAGGCTCCTGAGACACCAGCTGCAGTAGCCCTGTGGTATGGACTCCCTGGGGCCCCAATATAGTGCCCCTCTGAATTGGCACCCAGGGCTAGTGGTCCATCTGCTAACTTTTGTCTTGACAAGCAACTAAATGCCATTACCATATTTCCTTGTGTATGTATGCATCCCAATTTTAGCAGCTGATTTTTGGGAAAAAGTTTTGTGTTGTATATGAGAAAGTATAGTAGGTGCCCAGAATTGTACCAGAATTCTGGATGTAGTCTTACCACAGCCTTACACAATGGTATTTATACTTTTTGATCTTTGCAGATATACATCCTAGGATTTCATTTTCTTTTTTCACTATTGTATTATATTGGTGGCTTATAGCCTGTCTTTGACTAATGTATTCAGGTCTTTTGCCTCCCCTATTGTTTCTAGGTGATACACCCTCAAATTATTGCAGAGATTCTTGTAAATGGATGCCTGTTTTTTTGTTATTAAATTAAATCACATTTCTGCCAGATGTTATCCAGTCCCTCCTTCATAATATTACAGTCCTCTTCAGTATTGATAATGTCACAGAAGAGTTCTGTAATTCTGTTGTGAGACTCTGCTAACTGAAAAGGTGGAGCGGTGTTCTAACAGGAGCTGCTCTGTGACTTAGAAATTGATTCAAACTATGTGATGTGTCTAGCAGAAGAACAAAGATTGCTTCTACCCTGCTATAAGGCAGTTAGATGATGGTTATAGTAACTTCACACTAGGAAAGGTATGTAATATTTGTGGCAGGTCCATAGATTTGTAATCAATAAGCTATTTTTATTAATCTGGTTTTTTACATCCCTTCACATATAAGCAGCAATATAGAATGACCACTTCATTCTTCCCACTTCAGAACAAGGTTAGTAACATATTATATTTTAATGTGATTTTGTTATGTGTAGAAATGTTCACTTCTCACTGTTCTAATGACATTTCTATCAATGTTATAGAAACTCCATGAACCTCTTGATGTTCCAGGTCCCCAAATTGATTGCCTGTCTTTGCTGATTTCAAACACAGTAAAGGTGATCCCATTGAATGTGGTTATCCAGTCAGGAAGAAGGTAGACAGGCTATGTTTAGGGCACCTTTTCCAGCCTGCTTTTCAGTTAGGGTGAGCAGAGTGGATCCGAAGAGGGCTGCTCAGTAACAGTTACAGCTGCCAAATTGCACTCCTGCCTTGTCCAAGTGCTAAATGATCTTGTAACTGCTGTTTTTGTGCCAGTACGTGACTAGGAGCTTCACAATCCTACTCCTGTCATCACTAGCCAGTTGACAAAGGCCTTGAAAAATGTGCTGGAAACGCCATTTTCATGGAAGACTTCTGTGTGTAATTTCTTTTATCATGGAGAAACTACCGCATATCAGCTTCCAGATGGTTCTTGACAGAATGAGACCTTAATCCAATCGCAAGGAGGCCAAGATAATTGGAGGTCTCATTCCTCTGCAGTCTTAATCTGCCCTCAAAGCCATTGAGATTTTAATATCTTTTTCTGCCTGTTCCACTGTTGAGGACTTATAGACTTATGGCTAGGGGCTGGGCAGGCTTATAATAGTGGTGACCTGTACTTGCCATGCCATGGCAAAAGGATATATGTGGCTTTCCAGGAGGGAAAACATTGTCATCTGCTGTCCCCACCACTTCCTGGTGGTGCTGCTGCTGCTCGGTTCACCACTACTTATTTATCAGAATTACCTCTACTTGTTTCACGGCTAACCTTCCCTGAAGGTCATCCTTCTATCCAGCACCTGTGTATGCTCTAGGTAGCAGTACAGCTCTGCTGTGAGTCCTAATAATGAATGGCTGGAGTGCCACACCAAAATTGTGGCTGAAGAACTGAGGCGATACAACATCAATTTTGATGCACTGAGTGAGACCCAGCAGGTGGGACATGGGCAGCTCAAAGACCATGGAGGTAGCTATACTTTCTCCTGGAAGGGTAAACAGGAAGGAAAATGCCAATTTCATGGAGTTAGGTTTGCCATCAAGAATGAACTCAGAAACCAACTCAGTTTATTCGCTATTGGAATTATTGAGTGCCTGAATCTCTGTCTTAAACTGGTGGAGAGCCAATACACCACTGTCATCAGTGTGTATGCCCTGACTCTTGATGCTGCCAATGAAACCAAGGAGGAACTAAAGATTTCTGGACCAATCACCAATTCATCTACTTGGTTATGCACTCAAACTTGCTCCAAAATGAGGGCTACAGCAGAACCAATGCTGATGAAAGATCAACATTGAAGGACTCAATCAAGGACCCAATCAAGCAAGGCCTCTTTTACTACTGCCTAGGTGAAAAACTAGGAAATTCCAATCAACAACACTGGGAGAATGTCAGCAGTGCTGGGGTGCCTGCAAGTCTACCATTATCAGCACCTGTGAAGTGAAAGTTGGATTCTCTATGATGACTGAAACTTATGCTAAGCTGGAGCCTACTCGCAAAAGTTAAAATACAAAATACTGATGCTAACTACATAGTGCAAGAGGATGCGAATTCACGGCTAAGCCATCTGAGAAGAAATAATGAGGTATCCCTTCCAGCTTACCTTACTATATTCATGATGATTTCAAGCAGGGTCCTAGGGGCATTTGTACACACCACAGCATTTGATCCTTGTTAATTTGCCACGCCTTAAAATTTTCAATCCGGGCTATTTTGATGCATCACATTTATGTTTGCATCCCACGGGCTTTTGAATGACTTAAATCCCATGTATAATTCCTGCAGATTTCAGCAGGGGGAGCCAAATATCAAGCTACCCTCAGTAATGTCTTTTCTAATAAGTTACAGCAGGAGGCGCCTGTTCACTGGTAAACCGACCTTCCTGCCCAGTCCCCGCTCCCTACCCCCTGCCAGTAGTCTCACGCTAAGTCCCCCCACACACACCCCACTCCAGGCCAAGGTCACCTCAAAACCCTGCCAACCAGTTGCACCCACCTAGGCTCAGGCCGGTTTCCCAGTAGGCGAACCCATGGTGATCCTGATAATAAGCTGTGTGAATCATCTCCTCCCTTCCCATTCCCTTCCCCCATGTTACAAAATAATGAGAATTTATATATATGATTTTTTAAAAAAATATATTTTTATTGTCTAACTGATATGATATCAGAAATGTATGGGGTTGAGATCTGGAATCAACTTCCAGCAGAAGTGGTGCAGGCTCCTACCCTGGGGGGTTTTAAGAGGAGGTTAGATGAACACCTTGCTGGGGTCGTTTGACCCCAGTACTTTTTCCTGCCATGGCAGGGGGGCGGACTAGATGATCTACTCAGGTCCCTTCTGACCCTAGAAACTATGAAACTATGAGATTAGTGGGTGGGTGGTGTTGCCCCAGGTGGTTGGTGCCTGCTGCTGATGGTGGTGGCGAGGTGGACTGGTGTGTGGGTGTTTCATG